TGAGTTCAAAACTCGAAAGGAGAAAATAGTCAAAGATTCAAAGTACATACACATTTTTCATATAATGAAACTATGTAGTTCATAGTTTTTCACTTTTTACTTGTAAAATAAACATTTCTAAAATAAATGTATTTTTGGATTATGTTTCGGGTTTTCTCATTTTTAGTGCCTTCTTTTGCCTTTTTTGCGGTTTCTGGTGCCTTGTCCTGCCTATTTGGCTGTTTCATTTTGCCTTTTCTAGCCTATTTCGTTATTTTATTTTGCCTATTTTAAACGTTGTTAGATCCAAAAAATCCATTCCCTGATGATTAATAACTGTTTTTTTTTTGTTTCCAAATATGCTGGTCTATAAATATCGGCCTTGCCAAAACTCAGTTATCAGTAGCATACTCACTTTTATAGTATTATAAAAATTGTATAGCTTGATTAGTAAAATGAATGAATTTTTTCCGCTGTACCTCTCCATGTTCGCACTAATAATAATACATAAGTACTTAGTAATCGTTATTGAAATGCTATATCTTACATTTAACAACTCAATTCCAGTAATTATCGGCGTTTAAGTAACAATGGTAATGGCTATCTTATCGCAAATACGTGCGCCAGGTATGCACGTCTGCTAGTCTGCCAACAATTTATGGTTAACTTCGATTACTCAACTGGCAGAAAAAATAAGAATTGAACTAATCCTAAATATGCGTTATTTAGTTGATATCTTATTTGTAGTGTGATACTTAAAATGTAGACAAACAAAAACATTGGTTAGAGGCCGACAATATAAGCTAAATGTTTACTTAAGTACATACATATGTACATATAAGTATACTAAAATTTGATATAAATACATACCTAGAAGAACATCTGGATCGCTTCTTGTGGTAGCGTTTTGACCTCAGAAACGAATCTCGGCAGCCAGTTCAAAAACGCCCTATCTCAAAAAACTTTTCAAGAATGCCCTACTTCAGAATTTGATTGAAAAACGCGCTATTTCAGAATTTTATTGAAAAACACCCTATCTCAGAATTTGGTTCAAAAACGCGCTATCTCAAACGAAGATACATTGAAAATAAGGTGACATAGGGCGGTTTCGAAACAGCAGCTGAGATAGGGCGTTCTGAAGTAGGGTGTTTTTCAATAAAATTCTGAAATAGCGCGTTTTTCAATCAAATTCTGAAATTCTGAAATTCAAAGTTTTCATAAAAACTTTAAGGTCTGTTGTTTTTTTTTTTTTTTGATAAAAATTAGGTAGGTAGGTAGGTAAAAGTCGCTCCCGCTTTAACGGTACGCTTAGGCCATCGATAGAAGGCCCACCGTGCAATTATCCTCTTTGTTGAACAACTTCGTGTCGCTGATGAACCTCATCAGTTATCTTGCGTTGGTATTTGAAACCTCCCTAAGGGCCAGGAACGGTCTAGATATATTTTCTCTTCTAAGAGAGTATACCACTCGTGACCACTCCGATCCCATTTAGGTTTGGAAATTCCACAAGTACTAATTTGACTCCATCTTTCTACAGCTTTTTTGTATAAAAATCCACTAAGTAGCAGCTTGCAAGTGGCATATGGCATATCAATGCGTTCTTTACCAGAAAGAATCCGCTTGGTCGTGCCTTGCCTTGCAAGTTCATCTGCTATGCAATTTCCCTCTACGTTCCTATGACCAGGGAGCCGAGTGAGGTGAAGTCTTTTCTGCTTGGCCATCTTCTGTTGAGATAGGCAACAGTCCAGCGCAATGTTTGAGTAAAACTTGAAAGAGCTCAAAGCTTTGATTGTAGCCTGGCTATCACTAAAATTGAATATGTCTCTTCTCATCATTTCAGTTCCAAGCAGCCTCCATTATAGATGGAACTTTAGCTTGGAGTACGCTGCAGTAGTCTAGTAGCCTAAAAGAGATTTTCACGTCCCCTCCTACCTTAACGTATATTCGTTCCACTTCTCCCTGCTTGGGATTCTTGTGCTAGAATTGCTTTCCGGAAGCGATATCGAAGCGCAACGGTCTGTGCTGTTCGGAATGAAGAAACATTTATTTAGTATACAAGAGTGTCCGTGGGCGCTGCCATCCAATGTCCTGCTAAATCCAGTTTAGCTCCGGTGGAGTTACCGAAGACTTAGTAAATACAGTAATAAATCGAATGGTTAAAATTTAATTGACAAAGGTAAAATGGTGCTTAGTGCAAAATCTACGAAGTTTAAATATTTAGCTTTATGTACCTATGAATGTGTGAACAATATACTTGAGTAAACCGTTTTAGCCAGTTTACTCGCCTCTACTAGGTGCGAATTGGCAGACTTTAAAAGCCAGTGATTTCCAAGTTTTCGAATGCTCATATTGCAACAGGTTGTCTGTAGTAAATAAATTCTCCTATAGATCGTGCAATTAATTAAGCACATATACATACCTATACTATATAAGCGCTATATGTATATATACTATATTTACAGTCAACTCAATTACATCGTCGTTCCAGTTGATTAGGGTATGCCACAATTTGATGGAATTAAAAACCTAATTTGCTTTTAAAAATTGCGTGCCAGCATTCAATCGTCTCGTGTGCGCACCTCGCCATAAATGTGCAAAGTTCTTTCGCTAGAATCTTTCTCTCGATCGCCTCATCAGGTGATGTGATCTTCCACTATTCTGCACCAAGCAATAGAGTGTGGTTTTCGGTCCTTGAGAGATATCTTTAATGCGAAATTGTCTACTATCCAATGGTGTTTTCGTTTCTACCAAAAAATGTTGCCTTTTGACAACATTTTTCTCTTTTCGTGTTCGATTCTAAAATAAAAGCAAACGGAGCTATACACACTCTTGTAAAGCAAAAAAGGCACATTCTCTGCCCTTTGAAGCCTCGCTAGGGGAGAAGGTTGCGCTAAACATCAGAAAGTGGCTTAAAACGACAATATTTTAAAGTGCTTGAGCTGGACAAGGACAAGAGGCAAGAAGGTGCCCTTTTTCAGGATTAAGTGTAACATCAAACAAATTTTGCGCCATGTAAGGCAAACATTTTTTGGTTATGAATTTTTCATGTCTACTCCAGATAGATGACTAACTAGCCGCTGATGCTGCCTGAACCTTAATCCTTAAAGCCTTAAATCTGGAGAACGTTGTCCTCAACATATAGAATATGATACGACAATTGTAGAGGTAAAGTGGAGACGCTTGAACCGGGGATCTAACATTGTAGCTACTGAGAGAAAAGTATTTTTTCGAAAGGATCCCATTTCTTTAAGAGTTTCTCCTGAATTGGTCTAGGGGTTGATTGATCCATTACTTCGGGAAGTAAATTGGAAACAGGAGTTGCTAAGTTTGACGTAACATAATTTGCTTCACTTACATATCTCTAAAGTAGCTTCTTTGAAAGAGCCAAGAAGGGATTTTGTTTTTGGTTGCGCTCATAAACTATAAAGATACGTTCAAACGAATAAAATTAAGCTCACAGAGATCTCAAAATAATATTAATTTGATACTCGGAAATAAATATCGAATATCTATCGTCATTAAAAACTATCGACACATCTATTCATTAATTTCTGAAAAAATATCGACATTTTGATATATCGATATTTTTTACCCAAGCCTATCTGAATGCAACATAATCGCGATCAGTGATAGCATTTTCGTAGATTTCACTCACAGCCCTGATTTATCTTCTCTCTCGTCTGATTAAATAAATCACATTTTAAAGAAATATCGTTTAGTATCGAAAAGCTTAGAGAAATCTTCTCCAATTCTGGCCGAGCTGGCTCGAGTGCTTCTCACTCTTTTCGATAACCTAATCGGATATGTTTGATTAACGAATATTCGTTGAGACACTAGGTATTAGTAAACATTTCACCAAGCTCCTTTACACTAAAAGCTGTGACAGACGGCAAAGCTTTTTATACATATAATCGAGTCCTACAGCCATTAGAATTTTCATTTATTTCGTTTTCATTCTTTTTTTATAAGTTATATATTTTTTTACGTTGCTTTTAGTTGTTCTGACTTTTTAATAAAATTCAACTCTAAAAACTTAAATTAACTAATAGTAAAATATTAAATGTTATATAAAATAAATCAAATTAAAATAAAATAAAGTAAAATTAAAAATTTAAATGAAATAAAATAAAACAAATAAAATAAATAATAAAAACAAAAAATTTTTTCCCTTTCCCTCCAACCGAGGATCGAATCTGGCAGTTAGTTGCAGGCTTGTAGCCACAACTTTCACGACTCGGCTACCGCGGACGCGAAACTCGCCTGCTTTGTTTGCATACTTGTACAAAAGTTTTTACAAGTGTTGTCATCGAAAATTCCCCTGATCCAAGTTAATTCGCAAAAATTTCGTGCATTTGTTTGGCTGCTTAAGCGCATTTGAAAAAGGAAAATGCATGAGTTAAAGCAAATAAAGGCTGTTAATGCAAATAAACGAGCCCGTTTGTCAACCGTATAACATAAGTATGCAAATGATTTTTAGGCTTCTTAAATGAAATTAAGGGTTACACAGTAACCACAATTTTTTTTTACGTAAACGTATCTTATGTTAGACCCCGTAATATGATTTATTTTATATTGAGTAAGTATTATTCATTAATTTAGATAACGTAGGTGAACTTGAAAAGCTAAAAAAAAAAAAACGCAATAACCTTTGCGGCTTTTGCGCTCCAATTTCGCTTTCTAGCATTCGTATATTTGTATTAATGTTTGCATGTATAGATCAGTTAGTGGCAACTGGCATGTTTTCTATTTTCTTATTCTAAATTGATTTGTATAACTTATTCTGTCTCTAAATACATACCTAATGAACAGACATTTGTAAAATCCACAGCTCATCGTTGCCGGTAAGTCCCCATTAAGCTCGATTCTGTGTAATTTTGTTGTTTGAATTATCAATTTACAAAACTTGTTTTGTATTTAATTTAATAACGTTTAAAAAATAACCGTGGCATTCTGCCAAGAGCGATCGCCTGTCTCTGGCATGCTGCTTTATTACTTATCAGTATTGCAGCGTCAGTCTCGGTGGGTGGATAAGTGAGATTGCAATTATTATGCTAGTTATTTTTATTGTTGCGCATAAATACTGAAAGTGTGTTTTTTTTTTTCGTTTGAAATTGTGCGACAAAGTTATTGCAAACATTTTAAGCTAAAAAAAAAAAAAAAAACAAATGTGAATCAAACAACAAATCATCAGCCAAGCTTATCAACATTTCTAAGGAATAATCCATTTGTATGAGTGTTCCACTTAAATATGCAATTGTTTTATTTCAACCGAATGGCGACATATTTAGCGCGTATTTATTAGTATTTATTTATGGCCGGCCGAACAATCGGATTCGGGTTCAATACAAAGCATTTATTCGGTCGGTTATAGGCATTCATACTTAGATAAAAATGTAACATATGTACATTTGCACTCGCATATATCTCTGATAACATTAAAAACATTTATATTGCTTGTTGTTAACATTAAAATGTTATTAACTTGAGTACCAGATAAAATATGTAGCTTCGTTACAATTTGTTTTGATTTTATCTTACTGATGCAATAACTTTTTTATTATACGCTCTTGTGACGCTTTTGAATATCATGCATGCATGCAATTTTAAAATTTCGTTTAAAGCAAAGTGACATTGAATTGCTTTCAACGAAAAGCTGGACAAATATATGTACATATATTTATGTGTATATATATGTACGTACATTAGGGCGGCCCAAAAAAAATGCATGTGATAAAGTAAAGCCGGAATTTTTATGCTCTCATCCACTAGGATTGTTCTATACCGAAAAAATATACCCCTTTTTTATTTTGAAATCGAAAAATGTTTACAGGTCGCTCAAAGCGCCCAAAGTTTTCCATGTATTTTATATCGGGAAAAAAACACTTTTCCTAGAAATGGTACAGAATTCTTAAAAATCAAAATTTTTTGCTATCGGAAAACTCATTTTATCTTCAGGAGATTCCCAATAATAATACCCAATTGTTTAGTTAACCATTTTTTCATCGCAACTATAACTTATGGGTCCGCCATAAACCCACAAAAACCCCGAAAATGCAATGAGGGGGGGGGCCATAAAAAATCGTTAGTATTAAAAAATGGTTAAATAAACAATTGGATATTATTATTGAAAGTCTCCTGAAGAGAACAAGAGTTTTTCAATCGAAAATTATTTATTTTCAAGAATTCTATACCATTTCTTCGAAAAGTTGTTTTTTTCTTTTCATATAAAAATACATGGAAAACCTTGCGCTTTGAGCGACCTCTAAATATTTTTTTTTTGATTTCAAAATAAAATAATAGGGACATACTTGTTTTCGATATAGAACAATCCTAGGGGGTGAGAGAGCATTACAATTCCGACTTTACTGTTTTTGGGCCAACCTAACGGACATACAGATATGCAAATTGTCAACGTGTTATGAATAACTGCATCGTACATGCATAAGTATGTATTTAGGTATAAAAATCTACAGCCTCGAAAAATACGAAGCGTGCTGCGGTAGGAATAGATTATAAAAGGGGTTTATCTAGTGAATAAACATAGTACGTGGAGAGTACCTAATCTATTCTAATCTTCCGTCCAAATCTGATCCGAGTGGCATTCTCACCGATAGGAGTATTATTGAGAGGTGAACCAACCGTTTGGGTTTCAATAATCATACGCCGCCGTAGCCCAGTGATTAGACGAGTGTCTGCTTAATAGGTTCCGGGTTCGATACTTCCTTCATGCAACATTCAATTTCTTGAAATTGCTTTCTAATATAGCTCGGCAGGCAATTACAGACCCCATAGTGTATAATTCTGAAAATGATTGTTACAAAAACAGCTATCGTCCGAAATATTAATATTGAATCTAAAAGAAAATTAAATTAATCCTCTACTACATATTAAGGCAAATATGGCGTCTCACTACGTCTGACTTCCAAAACGTACCACTGCAATGTTTGGATACTGTTCTACTGCAATATTTAAACTGTTCCTATATGCAGAGTTGCGAAAAATTGCAGCTACATACATTGTACATTTTGAATATTCAACACAACAAAGAATAACCTTTCGTAATTCTCCATTTTGACAACATCAACACCAACGGCAACCAAAACCAAACGAAACTTTAACTTTGTTTCTGATGCGCTGATTACTCTAGCGATGTGTTTTGATAACTTTTCGGGTCGTTTTGGAAAAGTATATGTATGTACATTGTCAACATTATGTAGTTCGGCGTTACAGAACATTATACTTTGTACGTATGCAATGTAATTGACGTTTTGGAAGTCAGCCTATTTTGGCAATTTTTCCCACATAACTTAAAACCGTATCAAACTAATTAAATGCATAGAGATGTTAACGATTTAGTAATAACGACACGTAATTGGATTGCCTATGTGTGGTCGAAAAAGATCTATTCGTGACTGCAAAAAAGAAAAACTAATGAAAAACTCAAGTTGTTGGTAAGCTTCCATAGACGGACGCTCTAATGAGCGGACACATTCTTGGGAACGAACAATTTTTTTTTTCCATACAAAATGCTCTTCCATGCGCGGATTTTCCGATAAACGGACGCGGACACTCAAACATGTCTATTTAAAAAAAAAAAAAAATTCCCCTTAAGCGGACGTGAAGCTCTAATAAGCGGTCAGTTTTGTTTAATTTTTTTCAGTCTGATGTTAACTCTTGCGCATGTTCAGATCGACTGCTGATTGTAGGATCGACCTATCTCTGTAGCCAGTTCGAAAACGCCCTATCTCAAAAAATTTTTCAAAAACGCCCTATTTCAGAATTTTATTGGAAAACACCCTATCTCAGAATTTGCCTGAAGAAAGCCTTATCTCAGAATGCGGTTCAAAAGCGCCTTATCTCACTTCAAAATATATTGAAAATATGCGTTTTTGAAACGAATTCTGAAATAGGGCATTCTTCAACCAAATTTTCGAATAGGGCTGCCGAGATAGGTCGATCTTTCACTCAGCAATCGATATACATACATACATATGGGAGATTTTTTCGACTATGCGCCTATAACACAGAAGGATTCTACGTGTAATTCTAATCAAATTTTCCCAAGAAATCATGGGTCTTAACGCAATTTAGAGCTTGCCAAATTGCGAAAATGCCAAAATGGGTTTCTTATAAAAACATGCTGTAAGGGTTTTACGGCATGAAGAATCCATTTCTGCACTTATATTTTTCTTGAAACTTCCACCAGAGGGCGTTACAGTGAAAATTTTCACATTTTCTTCGAAATCTATTTTCACAATTCGCCAAACCCCAAATTGATTTTAGACCCATGGTTTCCTCGGTAAATTTGTTTAGAACTACACGTAGAATCCTTCTATGCTATACGCCCATAGAAAAAAAAAAAAAAAAAAAATTGAGCCGCCCTAACATACATACCTATAATGTACATACAGATATTTGTTGTTCTGAATAATCTATATATAAATAGAAAGATTTTTGTTTAATTTGCATCCTACACGCCTTATTTCCACGAAAGCCGGCATCAAGGCGTAAAATTTCTGTCTAAAACCGCTTTGCTTTATCTATGTCAGCGAGAAAACTTATACATACATACATAGAATTATTTAAATAGTTAGACATACGTAAATATGTATTCTACAAGAACATATCGCACACGATCTTCAAAAGTGACACAACTCAAAATTGGGCATTTTTGAAATTATGCACAAAAAATGTACACAGAGCTTTTATTTGCCTTTCAGCAAAAGCTGGAACAAATTTTTGTTATAATTTGTTGAAAAACCTAGGGTAAAGTCTTCCTTGCCCATGTGATTACCATGTGCTAAGAAATAGTTTTTCGCATTTTCTGACGAACGTATAATTTTGAGTTGTGTCTCTTTTGAAGGCGGTGTGTGATATGTTTGTAGTTATGTATGTATGTATGTATATTTTTAAATCTACTTAATTTACTTTGAAAATTTTTAACTGTAAGATAACAATAGTAAAAAAAACGTGACCAGATTTGCGTGTAGAATAACAATAAAGTAAAGCGCTAGAGGTGGGAACTAGAGATGGGCGTAGGATATCGCGACGACCCACGGTACTAATTTTAAAATGGAGATACAAACCAGAGATGGGCGGAAGAGAGAGATCTTTAAAAAAAATTATTTCCCGGCACTCGCTATAAAACGCGAAACTTCCAAAAATTCAGAAAATCTTCCTTAACATAATATGTAATTATAGGATGCCAGATTTTTGATGAAAGTATAATATTTCAGGAAAAGAAATTTAGTTCAATAAAAATTGTAAAATTGGAATTTTTGTTGCGCAACTCAGCGTCATTTTATAATCAAAGTAATTTTTTTCATTGATGGCATACTAGTTTTATTACTCCAGATTGTTTCGTTTTGGCAAGAAGAACATTTTCACAGTTTAATGTTGACATTCTGAAGTATCATAAACTTTGCAAATTAAAAAGCGTTAATTTTCAAAAATTACAAAATAGCTGCGGCCAAGACGCATTGAACAGGTAGTATCAGTATATTAGCTGATTTAATTTTTTTTCGAATCATTTGGTCTAGAAAATGTCAAATTTTTTTTAATTTTTTCTCACAAAAATTCTAAATTATTAAAATCTATTTGCATGGGAAACATTTTTCCATACAAAACACGCGATTGAATAGTAGCTTCTGGAACGCTCGCCCAACTCAGCACCACAACCCCTGATTTACTGGGCCTTGCAAAGGATGGATCAATGCTTCGAGAAGCAAACAAATTTACTAAGAACGAAAGTTGCAATAATTTAATTTTTTCCAATTTCAAATTTTTATTTTTTTTTTGTATTTCACATGCAGTGTTGCCAGATCTTTTTGGACGAACCGGCTAAATTGGCAAATAAAACCGGCTAAAATGTTTCAACTAAATTTCACATGTTTTATTTAAATAAATCACGAGTAAAAACACTAGTTCTTGGAGAGAAGTTACAAATTCGAGCCGGAAAAAATTTTGCCAACAAGAATTTGCAATTAGGAAAAACATATGATTGTGGCACATGGTTGGATTTTTTGTCGACGATAATTTGAATAAACAAGTTCGTTAAATTTCTTTTGTTTGAAATGCAACCGTGGACACTAGCTTTTGCAAGTTTCTCTACGTGAGAGAGAATTTGGGAGCATTTTTTCTTACTATCTGCTATCTTGAGTGATAATTCTCGCTAGATTTTCGACAAACAAACCTATTGTCTTCCCTAGAAGGCCTTTTCAGACTGACCAATTCTCAATACACTCAAATAGAAACCAGTACACATAAAAGACGCTGTAAAAATTTTCCTCCAATTTTAAGGCAGTAAAACAACGACCTTAAGTTAACATCAACCGAGCCCATATGTTGACAAGGGATGCAAAATCACAGTTACACAAAAGAACTGGTCAAATTTTTCAGAAATCCCTTCAATTCTGATGTAAAATATGATGGCAAAAGACTGTAGATCACCCATTTAGATGACTGGCCATATGACCGGCAGATATCTCGTAGGATTCCCAGAGAGTTTTGCTGTACATAGAAATTTGTGCCCTTTTATTTTCATTTTGACTCACTTCAGTGTTCATTCCTTTAATTCAAGTTGACATTCGGTTTTTGGAATTTAAATAAGTCCTCAGCAAAAAAGTTTGTTTAAAAAAATACATATGTGTACATAGTGCTTGAAAATATAAATTTTTCATTTACCTTAAACCTTTGGGAGTGGGCAAAAATGATGTTTTGTAATTTAGACAGAATTGAATATGCGCTGTCTGGGAAGACAATATCTACATGTAATATTTATTCTGTTTGTTGGCACTATATTCAAACACAAACGCATCTTAAGTGTCTTAACAGTGAAGCAATTACTTATTTTCTAAGTTTGCGAATCAAACTTCACGCTTAAAATTAAGACATTTATAACAAACACTTTATGAAGAAAATCCCTTCTTCGTTTAAAATAAAAATAAGCGAAATCGGCCCACAACCCTGCCAGACATGAAAATTTTCTCCACGATTTTTTTTTTTTTTTTGTTTTATTTTTTTGATGTTGATCAGAAACGGGGCTCGAATCCAGTCTTCGGGAATTGGAGTGCGCACTGCACTACATTACAGCAGCCGCCTGTGTATCTACCCATATAAATTTTTTACAAAATATTCACAGACGGATGGAGAGCAGAAACACTATTGGAAATTCCATATTTTAAGCGCGCCCTTATCATCGTGACACACAACTCGATAGAGTGGTGGATTTGTTAGGCTTTAAACGTCAACATTTCGTTAATTTTGTATTGATAAGCCATACTACAGCGAAGCGTAGCAAACGAGAAGAATATTTAATGCACTAATAAAAGTAACAATGAGAGATTACGTCTAAATTAAAACAAAACAACGCTTTCAACGATCGCTCGAATAATAAATGAAAGGCACACACAAAAAAAAAAAAAGAAAACAAATACTAACAAATTTTTATCACCAAAAAATGGAAAAAATCGTCACTTCCACGGAGCGCCTCGACGCATCGATCAGTTCCCAACACAACGACTACGGTAGCACAACGTTAAAAAATCGCGCTTCACCCACAAAAGATCAAACCACATCGGCCGAAATACACATCACTACTAACAGAGGAGCTCTAGATACGTACGACAAAAATTACGATCCCAACGATAGTGACAATTCAGTTGGGCATGATTATAGCAGCAGCGTTGTAGTAAACACTAAAGAACTCGTCTACCAGAGCTTACCAGCTCCGATCACTACTTATACGTCAAGTCTCTTTGCTGCTGCCTGTAGTGCTTCCTCAACGTCACGCTTTCAAGCGCCACATTCCGGTTACGCGCGTTACGGCTACAGCAGAATGTCAACGTTTATTGATGAAACACCTGGACCTAAGAAGTCTGTATGGCCCTCAACAACCCTGCAGCGCTTCGAAGTTATCCTCTTTGTACTGAATCAAATGTGTATCGGTTTTGTGACCATATTCATGTCCTGGTTGTGTATTACAAATGGACTGCAAAACACGCCGCTTCATGCGTGGCTGGTAACACTAGGTGTAAGTGTATTATTTTTGAAACTGAAATTTCGCATTTTTTACAATTCATATAAAAAAAGAGAGTACAAGTTTTGAATAATTTTATAAACGGCAGATTTTATTAAGTAATTACATATATCATTTATAAGGTTTAAATTATTCACTGGCAAAATAGTATTTATTTAGAGCACTCAAACTCAAACAAGTAATTTTAAGCAAGAAATACAAACGACTTCAATGCTCATTTACAGATTTAGGCGTACCGTTAATTTCTTCATGATTCAATGATCAGAACTAAACGAAATTAGTATGGGACCACCCTTGAGATACCACCTTTTCGATAAAAGAAGAATTAGCGAAAATCGTTCACGCTATCCAAAGTTGTACATAAAAAAAAAAAATATTCCGACAAATTGATAACCTCCTCATTTTTTTTAAGTCGGTTAAAAATTCCCTGCAAAATAGAATACCCATATCGGTACCTTATAAAAGAGAAAGTTCTGTGCAACTAAAAAAATATAAAATTTTTTGGTGCATAAGGACGAATCCTCGAATATCCTTGAAAATTGTAATATTTATATTGGAAAAAAATTGTATTTTAAGGACTAATATACACACGACCACATCCTCTAATTTCGTCCTTATAACTTCATTACCGTTTCCAAAAAATCGGCTTTTTGATTAATCACAGTTTTTTATTCAGGTTTTAAACCGTCTAAAAAACTGTATTAAAAACCCTCATCTTTTCGGTTTACCGAAAAAACCCGAATTACAAAAAACACTACAAAAAATCAAAAAAACATCGATATCAAATTAATTTAAATTTTCACTTACACTTGTTACTTACTGCTGAGCAACGCGAATTAATTAGAAATAGTAATTTTTCTTAATTTTATACAACAACTTAATTTCCAAATATACGAAATATAATAAAGGGTTGCACATATTTATACAAAAACAAACTTCATTTCACAAAAAAAAAAACTTTTTTAATTTACTTCAATTGTGTCAAAATGCCAAAAAGCAAAACTCGAGAAAAACGGCTTTGAATTTACATATCGTTACCTGAAATGCAAAATGACGTAACAACCATCATCGTTGCAATGCAAAAAGTTATAACTAATAAAAAATAAAAATTCGCTTTTTGATTTATATGGTGGATTTCATCGAATTACAACTACTCCCCACATCATTTTATAAAAAAAAAAATCAAAACATTAGTCACGACTTTTTCCATTTCATTTACGATGCGGTTACGACTTTTTGCATTTCAGGTGACGATATACTTCCATAGTAAAAAAGGAATGCATACATATTTTGTTCTAGTGTGATACTGGTAATCGATACAGCTATGAAATTTTTACACAACGTAGTAGAAAAGGTTTGCATACTCAACTCAGAATTTGAATTTTTTGAATTATGACACTATTGAAGTAAATGAGCGATATGTATATAATTACATATGTATGTATATTATTAACTTCAAAATTGAGTGTACAGTGATTGTGTTTTTTACCTCCCTTTTATTAGCTCGGGATGTAACTATGTAATATTGATGCGCCTAAAAGATGCAGCGATTTCTATTCTCAATTTACATACCTGATGACTATACGAATGGATATTATAATAGCGAGGTTTTAGTTTTTTAAACTACAATTTTATTTTTAAACATTTCCAATGTTTTTCATGGTAAATATTTTTTGTTAATTTTTTATTAAATTTATTAAAATTTATGTTTTAACAAATTACATATAAATCCAAGTTTCAAACTTTGTACAAAATTTCAATATTCACAACCGACTTCACAATCGATTATGCTTAGCTACTAGATTAGCAAACAAAAGTTGATTAGGTATTTGAAGTTTGTATTACGCCGTAAAATTTTACTCGTTATCTCGACGTATTGCAAAATAATTATCCGTTGCTGAGGAATGTAAAAACCGAATTTTCGGTTTTCGGTTTAAACGAAAAAAAAAAACGATTAAAATCTAAATTAAAAAAAGACTGAAAAAAATCATTAACCAAATTAAAAAAAAAACGGGCTTTGAAACACCGATCTTATTTGAACATCCCTAGTTTCAATGCCTATTCGTCCTTCTGAACCAAAAAACTTTCATTTTCTTAAATTCTACAGAATGTACCCATATTGTTATTCTACATTGCACTGAATTTTTAAACTGTTTTTTTTTTGTTATAATTAAGCAAACCTTTGAAATTGCAAAGTCCTGTTTACAATTTTTTGGTTTTTGTCGTACGGTGTTATTTTTAGGTGATTCACACAAACCACAAAATATTTTAACCGATATAAAATTGTGTACGTGACTACTTATGATACCTTGTAAATCACCTAATAGATCGGTTGTACATGTATTTTAGTCTAACTGTTGAAAGAATTTCGTTTCGTTTTACATCCCTCATAACTTTAATTCTTTCTTAAATATTCGAAATATCCCTAAAAAAAAAAATAAAAGAAAAAAATGTTTGAACTGTATGTAGGTATTTAGGTACACTAATGACCTTTTTTTTACCAGTTTTGGCTATATTTGTTTTGTTTATTTAAAGTTTAGTATTTTTTATACAAGTCTATATCATTTATATAATAAACTCCTAAATAAAAATTCTACAAATTCTCGACAAAACTTAAATCTTTTTATTCAGAATTTTGAGGTATGCAGTTTTATAACTAAATAAATTGAAGTGCAAAGAAGTGCAAAATTCATGTTGCTAAAAATTACCGTTGATTTTATAGAATTAGTTTTTGTCGTATTTGCTTCCATACATACAATTTATTTTTAGGCATTAGTATTCACAGTATCTCATATTCAATATTTTAAAGAAAAAGTAGAAAGGGCTGCCTAGTTAAATGTTAAAATGTTGCTTAGCCTCAAAGCAATAATTGAGTAGATCACTTGCAAAGTGCGCTATGTAACATTTTTTCGATTTTTAGTTTTTAGCGGGTAACGTACCAGTATTTAAAGTAGTTTCATGTCCACTAACAATGCAGTGCAACATCTTTCCATATTCTGAAAAAATAGCATCCAATGTTAACTACTCTTGCAAAAGTCGCTATAATACTTATGTGTGTATTTATACACTTTCAAAAGTCTCAATCTACTGATGAACTTAGAAAACTGCAAGAAAACGTGCTAGTGGAAGACGTCGTAAAAAAGAACCAGACCAATCTTCATGGCAGAGAGAACGTGAAAAGCTAAAAAAAGATAGCTATGTAAAAGTTACTGTTTCAAAACTCGCTATGTTAGATTTTTATATATAAACTTTGCAAAAACTACCATACTACGATTTTGTTTTTTAATGTTATTAGGCTCTTATTTATCCAAATCTTCAGATAATAAAAAACAGATACAATTTCGATGTAACTTGTTGTTGTAGACGTTTTTTTTTTTATTTATGGCTTACTATTATAAAATCACATAACGCTTGTTGTTTTTTGTTATACATGCCTATGTTTAAAAAATACACACAACTGTTACTTTCATGCAGCGAAATAGAGTGTGCAAGGAAACACATGCTCACTTACTTTCGCCCGATAACTAAATTTACTAAACAATATTATTTATATTCGTCCAGTACTCGCTACTGATGGCCGAAGCCGTGATGGTCCATTACAACTCGAATCCTTTAACAACGAACTTCAAACGTCATGAAAAACATACCATACATTGGGTGCTGCAATTAGCAGGTGGCGGATTGGGAATGGGCGGTACGCTGTATAAATGCATACAGAAGGGTTTTTTACTTCAGAGCACACATGGAAAACTGGGTAGGTACTTTGATTAATTTTTCTATAGAAATTAATAATAATGCATAATTTTTTCTTTCACATTTTTGCACAGGTTTCGCCACATTCATCCTCTGCCTGGTATCTTGGTTAAGCGGTTTGACTGCACTTTATCAACTCAAACTTAAATTCTTTGTCCGTCCTTTATTCAATCGAACAATCCACAACTTGATTGGGCTAGCCTGCTTCGTACTCGCGCTTAGCACTCAATATTATGGCTATCAGACGGGTTTCTTTAGAGCTCGGGTAACTTCAGAGAGTTTCCGTGACTGCATGAAGACCATTACCCTACTTTCATTAGTACTGAGTAGTATTGGACCCCTAAAGGCGTTGCTGCAGAAGGCTCGTACTATTTTTAGAGACTTCTAAATAATTATCATTATGAATAAATATAATATTTATATTATTTGTAACGAATTTTTTTCATAGCATAGCGTAATGGAGTTATATTCTATGTATGCACTAAATGTGATATTGAAAATACATATAAAAATATATATTATTTTTGAATTTTACACAACTACATACATATTAAAAGAGATAGAGATATCGAAATGTCAGGTAAATGAATCTCCGAAAAACCCGGGAAAAAGTAATACATTTTAATTGACGTAAAATTTGAAAAAAAGGCTGCAAAATTTATAGTATCCTTCCGACCGATTTTTAGTTTGTCCAATAACTTATGAATATAAAGCATTAAAATTTTCGGTGTGTACGAAAGTCACGGGCGAACGAAGTAAAATGCTACAAATATGCTATATGCGATTTGAATTTTAAGATTTTTGAAGCTTTCGAAAGGGTAAAAATATTTGGACTCAAATTGCTTCTTTCAACATTTTGCATGTTCAATATCATTTTAATTTAATTTTTAATTTACCTATTTGGGAGAAAAAGTGCATTTTCAATGTCCGTGAATCACCAAAACAAAAAGTGCTACGTTCCGAATACATTCCGTAAAAATAACAAACTTTTTTAAACCGAAAAATTCTGACCGTCCAGCTGCCGAATTTTCACAAACTACATTGACAGCCGAAAATTCACCTGTTGAGTATCCTAAGTAGTCTCGCTAACAGGACTTTGAGATAGCTGAAAAACTTAACCTGTAGCTGTTCAGTTTATAGGGAAGCCATTAAATTTTCCGGATACTGCCGCGAACGAGCTTCGCGAGAGATAAGATCCGTATATTTCGAAGTAGGCATAAACCGCCCGAAACTTATCAATTACCACGCGTTTTATTGCATTAATGTTATCTTTTGGCACCATGCCGCTATGTTTGACGTGTCTGCCTGGTAGCCCGGATACGCCCAATACGGAAGGAAGTTCTCTCTTGTCAACGCTGGTGATTTTGCCCAATAATACACTAATTCACGCATTGGATATGCTGTGAGAGGTATGAAAAAGAATGTTTGTGCAATGTTTATTGTTGACAAAGCTTTATAAAGATTACTTACATAAATAATACTCAATAATAAAGTGAATTTTTAACAAGTTTGTTTTTCGTATACATTTTCAGGATAAACTAGCGAATATTGTATGAGTAAACCGGTCGTATTGTAATCCTGAAAAGTCTTTTATCAAAACGTTGTTTATCCTGCAAAGCCCGCAACAAATAATCGGCTATCTACAAACTATTTTGGGCATCTCTGGTTTTGGACAACTATGCAGTTACGCTCGCAACGCTCTAAAATGGTCCTTGGAAGGATAGATTCCGAGACCCTGTTGCAAAGGTGGGTGAAATAATATTTATATGATAATTAAGTATTTACTTCGCGAATTTCTCCGCGTTTCGTGCAGAATGATATTCGACGAATAATATGTCATTTAGTTATACGTTCGTAATATAGGGTTCCCCATATAGTGGTTTCTTTTTTAAAATTAAAAAAATGCACAAATCTAAATTTTTTCAGTATGTTAATGGTTTATTCGAGAATGCAAGCATTCTCATAATAATGAATTGTTCGCATAACATCGGTGGCAATAAAAAATGTTATTTACGGATTTTTTGCATTTCAGCGACGATGTAAGATAGGGTCTTTCTATATTAAGGTAACGACATGGGGCATTCCAGCCCGATTCGGACACCACTTTGCTTTTGCATCGCCGATATTTTTCATAGTTCTTAATGTTATAGTATCAATTGAGAGAAACCCTCATTCTTTTCAATTTCGGCATATCGATTTAACCATTTGGGAAAATTTTTTGTTTGAAATATTTTATTTTCTTCTTTTTTTCGGACAAAAAAACTGTATATTACTGCGAAAAAATCCCGTTTCGCAGTATCTGCATTTAAAAATAGAAACATTTTTTACAGTACCTGAAAATCCCGAAATAGTTAAAAAAAAAACCAAAATAGTCCCGAAAATCCCGATATATTCCGAGAACCATCAAAAACTCCAAGTAGTCTCGAAAAACCCGGAATAGTCCGGAAAATCCCCGAAAAAGGCTCGAAATAGTCCAGCAATCTCGAAATAGTCCCGGAAATCCCGATATATTCCCGCGAACCCCGAAAATCTCGAAGTAGTTTTGAAAAACCCGGAGTAGTCTCGAGAATCCCGAGAATATTTCCAAAATCCCCAAATAGCCCCAAAAATACTGAATTAGTCCCAAAGTCCTGAAAATCCCGAAGGAGTTCCGAAAAAACCCGAGGGATTTCCGAAAACTCCGAAATATTCCCAAAAATCCCGAACTAGTCCCGATATATTCGCGAGAACCCCGAAAAACTCGAAGTTGTCCCAAAAATACCAAAAAAAATCCGAAAATCCCGATATAGTCCAAAAATTCCGAAGTAGTCCCGAAGTTCCCGCGGACCCTGAAAATGTCGAAGTAGTCTCGAAAAACCTGAAATAATCCCGAAATAGTTCAAAAATACCAAAATAGTCCCAAAATTCCTGATATATTCCCGAGAACCGCGAAATTCTCGATGTAGTTTCGAAAAGCCCAAAATAGTCCAAAAAATTTCGAATTGGTCCCAAAAATCCCTAAGATCCCAAAGTAGCCCCGAGAACCCTGAAAACCTCGAAGTAGTCTCGGAAAACCCGAATAGTACCAAAAAATCCGAATCGGACCCGAAAATCCCGATGTAGTCCCTCAGATCCCGATGTGGGCCCGAGAATACCGAAGTTGTGTTGAAAAACCCGAAATAGTCCAGAAAATCCCGAAGAATTCTCGAAAATCTCGAAATAGTCCATAAATCCTGAGAACCCCCGAAAATTCCTAAGTAGTCTCGAAAAACCCGAAAAAGAGTCCCAACAATACGGAATTATCCCCAAAATCCTAAAAATCCCGAAGAAGTCTCGAAAATTTCGAAATTGTCCCAAAAATTCCGAATTAGTCCCAAAAATCTCGAAGTAGTTGCGTTGCATAAAAGAGTATTATTTAGTTGAAAAATCACAAATCAAATGATTCGCTGTACAAATCTAATCACAAATAAAGTTGATTTCTGATTTGGAGGGCGCTTCAAATCACAAATAAAATTAATTTTTTATTTGGTTGACCAAGCAAATCATAAATAAATTTTAGAATTTGATGCAACTTTCAATTCAGAAATAAATTTGATTTATGGATTTGTGATTTGACTTAATCAAAATTACGCAACCCTGGTATTTATATATATATCTACGCACATATGGCAGCTAAATTTACTCATATTTTAACAGTTCTTATGGTAAGTAAAACTATAAATTTAATATTTTTCTAATGACAAATAAAATAAAGCATAAATAAATGTTTGCGTACAAAATATTTGATGGTGGAGTTTAATTTTTATGGAAAAAATTGGTAAGTATATGAGCTATCAAAAAAAGACCATAATACACATATTTGTCCTGATAAAAATCCACTTTTTAACTCCTTTCATTTGAAGCGCATATTGCCGCATTTTATCATGCCCGCGTTTTTGTTGCAAAATTTCTAAACTTTTTAATTTCTAAAAACATTTTTCTCAGTGTATCTACGACCGCCTTCCCGTTTTCAAAAATTGCCAATTACCACCAGGCGCCCATAACCGCGGAGCAGGTGGCTCCCGCAAAAAATTTTAATTTTTCCACAAAAATTTTTTTCAGTGTACTCGACGACCGCCGGTCCGGTTGCTAAAACTCCCAATTTCCACCAGGCGCCCATAACCGTGGAGCAGCTGGTAGCCGCAGAAATTTTCCCTGCCGGAAGCTAAAATTCATAGCATACTTTTAGGCGCCGGAAGTGGAATGTGGCTGCGAGCATTTCCACTTGAATTTGGCAGGAAGTATGCGCTTTTAGGTTAGAATTCACCTATTTTACTACAATTTGAGCAATTCCCAATTTTCTTGAATTAAATCATGGAAACATGCTCTTCACAGGATTTTAAGTAATAAAATAGACACAACTAAAGACATTTTTCATAATGAAATACATATTTTATTTTTGTTTCCTTTTACCTTTATCACGGAAATGAAATACAGACATATCTAAAATTCTATATAAACCTTTTGCTCCATTCGGCTCCTGGACCTTTTTATGAGAAACCAATTACATACTTTTACAAGAAAATAAATATATTTGAGCATAAGATAATACACAATTCATACAAATTTTATTTTTTTTCTTATTCTGGTTATTTTTTATGTAAGCTGATTGCTGTTTAGCGGCGCTGGACTGATCCTTTTTAAGCGGCTTAAAGCCAAACTAATATTGTATTGAAAAACTACCTAGAAACAAATCAAAGAGTTTTCTAACTGCTTAAAAATACATGCATACATACATATATGACTATTTGCAGTTTAAGCTTAAATTTTGAAGTACAACAATAAATTACTGGTAAATGAGTTCAACACAATTATTTTTTCATGCAAACAAAAAGGTTGTTTTTTTGTCCCTTCTGGCCTTCAATTTGCTTTCATACCTATTGTATGTACGACTGGAAGTACATACATACATACGTGTACACTTTAACAACTAATAACTTAATTTAATAATACTTTCCTTCTAAACTATTACAGCTCCTAGTAAATGATGAAACCGTTGATGTCACTACTGTGGCCTCTGAAGAAACGTGCACTTCCATCCTCTCTTGGTTAAACCTATAAATTTAGGTATTTTTGTGTTAGATAAACGCAAATTATAGATTATCAATGTGATGATGTTACCTTTCTATAGTTTATCTTCCATAAAATGCCCACCTTGTTCCAATTTATCCTGAAAGCGTAGCTATTCATTGGGCTTATCCAGCAGTATAGCGATACGGGTCAAGGCAACGAGATACTGAAATGAATTCAGATAATTTAAATTTTGCGAATATGAAAAAATAAATATCATAAATTTAAAAATGAATATAATTGCTTAAATTCATTAAGGGCAGAGCTCCAATAATTTATTGTGTTTTATTTTGTGAACATTTTTTCATAGTTCAATTCATTTTCTGGGCTTAAAACCTGGCTGAAGCTGTCCGCCGCGATGGGAGCGTTTACACTCAGCCTGAAGATGTGTCCATTATTGAAATGTTCTTCTGCTTACATATCAGCTTAGAGTGAAGTTTTAGTTGTATTCAAAGTTCAACAATGTTTTCCATAATTTCAGCCACGTAAGTATGTATATGTACATATCGTCGATGTTTTTGCGAAACCGCCCATCGACCAATTGCAAACCCGCTTATCTTACGCCAATCAAATTTTACGGGAGAGCGAAAAAAACGGGTTTTCTTTGAAGGCATTGCATTGATAGGCGGTATTTTCTCTATCGTTTTACAAATCTGTTTTAATAACGATTTTACAATTTGTATGCATAAATCTCGATGCCTGGAGTTCACGACGATTAAGGCTGTTTTACAATTGGTTTTGCAAAAACATCGGCGATATATGTTTCGTACTTACCTACATAGATAGACTAATCCATTACTGCGGAATCGGCCGAAATTTTGATCAAGCGGTTTTATATTGACAATTATACTTCCGCCTCATAGGCCCATTACATGCAGGACGCCTTTCTTTGAAGTAAGCCAAGGTTAATTCAGCCATTCGTTTCCTTGACTCGGGCGCTAATTCTGTAAAGCAAGAAAATTTGCATATTTTAATGGTAAACATATCGGTAAACTTTCTTTACATAAAGCCTATAGAAACTCCAAGAAGGAGATTTTTTGACACTTTACACATTTAGAAATTACTGATCTACGAAATAGATCAACTTAACTTAATTACGGGATTCACAAAGTGTCAAAAGAAGTCATATGGCGTAGAGGTTATAAATTTTAAACGGGATATTATGACTCCTCGTAGATCCCTTAAATAATTACTGTAAGGATTAACTTTATTAACACTATTATATACAGTGCCGGACAAAAGTATTGGCACAAAGAATTGTTCGCAATATCTGCGAAATTTTTTATTTAAGTTTATTTTCTATAATTTTTTATAAAAATATAGTTCGTCCTACACCGAAAAACATAAAAACTAAATCTTTAAACTTTGTGCAAGTCAGTAAAATTCAATAAATTTGCATACTAATTTGCAACTTTCTATTTAGATTTTTAAAATAAATTCTAAGTATGCAGTTTTATAGCTCATCTATTTTTAGAAAACAAAGTGCAAGCTTGAAGTTGCTAAAAATCGTGTTGATTTTTGGCATTTTTTTTCACTCAGGTTCTTCCATACAGAGTATGTTCGAAAATTATTTTTGTATGGAGAAAATGAGGAACACCTTCGACTAAAAAAATTGCCAAAAATCAACGCAATTTTTTAGATACTTCAAACTTGCACTTTGTTATATGTACTAAAATTGAACAGGCTATAAAATTGCCTACTTAGAGGGTTACAAATTTATTGAACTTTCCTGAGTTTTGCACAAAGTTTAGGATTTTGTTTCTATGTCTTTTTGGTGAAAAACTTTGCATATATTGCGAAAAATTCTCTGTGCCAATACTTTTGTCTGGCACTGTATGTATATATTACTTGCATTTCTTCTAAGCTATTCTTCATGAACTCAATATTGCTGAATTTTCTCCAATTAGGCAAACTATGACATCTCATCAGAACACAGAAATCACTGTATTGCGTCTCGAATGTCATATTTTTTGCACACCAGTAGCGAAAGACTCAAACTGTACATAGATTCGCCTAGTGAAATGACAGAGCGCCTTCAAGCTAACCTGCAATTTTGAAAAAAAATAAAGAAATTAAATTCAATGGAAAAATGTACTCGTCGTTTTTGATTTTACTTAAGTTAAGCTTTAAATATTTAAAACATTCTAATTGATAACGTACCTGGGATCGCCATAGTTCCATGACTTTTCGAATGAAGAGTTACAAGTCAACCAAATTGCCTGCAATTGGTAGTTAATATTTTGTATAAACTAATTAATTGGTTCCCAACATTGATATTGGCAGGGCTCACTATATCAGGAACTCCAAGTCTTGGGTAGACTTTGATTTTGCACCGAAGTCTTTATCTAATGAAGAGAAATAGAAGACCCATATATACATACATACATATATGCATATAAATCAATGCATTAAGTTTTACTCACTTTTCACAGCTTCATCGCAGTGCTTCTGACTCAGCTGGCCATTCTCAACGAATCGAACCGTAGTTGCTCCTCCATGCCGGTAGGATTGAATATACAACAAACCCGAATTGTCAGCGATCTTCTTTTGCGTGCAGATTGCCTTCAAAATGGTCAAGATAACTAACATCCCGTCAGCGTGAGTTGCCCTCGGGATCCTGATTTTAGTGTAGAAATCCTTACGCTCACAACTCCATAGACTAAATGAATGCAGCCCAGAAGATAATTGTAATATAATAATAATAATATATAATGTATATATAAGATGTGGCCGCTGTGGTGTAGTGGTTAGCAGTGTGCGCTACCACTCCGCAGGGCCTGGGTTCAAGTCCTGGTCAAAGCAACATCGCAAAAAATATGTATCAAAAAAAGGTTTTTTCTTAACACCGGTCGCCCCTGGACATGAAAAACAGCTTCTCATAAAAAAAATATAATCGTCGTTCTTGATGAATCAGTCTGAAAACTTTTTTTGGTCCAGGCTCGTGAAAATACTCTGCAAAAGAAAATATATAAAATATATGCGGTGCATAGTATAAGAAAAAGCCGCATTAAATAATTTTCATAATTGCATTCTATTGTTTTTGTATTATGTTTAAAACGGGGGTAAATACGGCAACTAAAAACTTTCATTACAGTTCTATAAGCAGGATGCTTGCGCAAATTAAATTAATCTGTATTACAAAAAAAAAAATAAAATTGGAAAATACTGTCTTTAAAAATGCCATAAAGTTGGAAAATAACACTGAGCTAGCAGGAAAAATGAAGTCAGTAGTGATAGTCATTTTTCCAGGTTAGGTCAATCAAGGAATATCAAATTCAAATTTTTAGGCGGGTCCGTTTTTGAACAAATTTTGGGATTTTCGTTGGCTTTGAAAATTCGTATTGGAAAGTTTTTTGTTGCCAGAACTCTGAATTGAATTTATTTTTGCGATACGACAAATATTTAGTACAGCTGTTGCAACACCGCCCGGTAACACACCACAACTGACGTAACCATATGGCAGCACAGAAAGGATGCAACTCTGCCAAACAAAGAAGTATACAAACGCGAACATTCTTTGATTTTCTTTTATTCTTAGATTATATTCTTAGAAGTTTTTAAGCGAACGTCATTTTTGAATTCGCAAACGAACGTTATTCGTACTCTCTTTTATTTTTCCAAGCGAATCTAGTTGGTCAACCAAAGTAAGTTTCTAAAACGATGTAAATGAATTATATGTATTAACTTGGATTTTAATTGCAATAAATAGTTTTTTAAATCTGCTGTAACTGCTCAAATTAAAAGAGTGCAACACGATTGTTTTAACTGGGCGGACAGCTGCTGTGAACGTTGGTAAACCAACAACAGCTTTCATACAAAAAATATCCAAAAATTATCGAAAACGGTAAAAAATGCATTGGAAATATATTTATGTATTATGTATTTGTTTTTGTTTTTGATAAACCCGTTAAAGAATTTTTCGATTTTGACCAAACCATCCAGACAATTTTTGTTTTCAGTAATAAGAAAACGTGTCGCCCTCGCCTCATCGTATCGATTTCTTATTAACAGTTGCTCTAAAACGCCGAGTCGTTTCTTTATTACCTAAATGATCGCATTATTATTGCTACAGACGATTTTTGTAATAATTTTATTTTTTTTTAATACTTCATTTATTTTTTGTATACAAAAAAATGAAACTTGCAAACGAAATTAATTCGTTCTCCTCGCTATAGGGCTTCCTATATTTTCAATCCTATCTTTGGCATAAATTAGATGCTTTTGAACAATACTGTTGACGCGAAATTCATAAGTTTGGGAATTTTTCATAACTTATTTATTTCAAAATTGAGATGAGATAAATGTGTTCCCGATTTGTCACCACGACAATGAATCGGTGAGTCGCCAATTTGTTGCCACTGACAATTGTTGCACATTTCTCATGTTTTCCATGGATAAATATCAAATTTTTGTTTTATGTATTTCAATTGAAATGACTTTAAGTGAAATAAACGCCAACAAATTAGCACCTGGTGCGGCAAACCCAACTGATAGAAATGACCAAAGAATATGTATAACCAAAAATATTTATAAATTTTTTTCCTTTTTCTTTATCGAAATTCAAATATTTTTTTTAGTTATCTTCGTTTTCATTATCTTGTAAGTTCCAACAAATATCTTCTAATAGAGCATCAAGCTTCTTTTCAATACACCAATTTTCCAGGCTTGCTGTTATCTGGTGAAATCTCTCACCATGCTCGTCCAATTCGGCTTGGCTTGACAAACCAAATGTTATATACAACTACTGTAATGGAACGTATTTTTAGCATACAGTAGTTTAGTATACAGTTACCCAGTCGGCAAAATGAGGAGCGTTTCTAAATAAACGTTTTCTAGAAGGGATTTTGCATTAAGACCTTCTCTTTGAAAGCGTTGTTAGAAGATCTTCCAATAGCGCTGCCATTCGAAGGCAGATGAGAAGGTGTATTTCCAAGGCAACCAAAGTCAAATCGCAGTAAACGCATTGGTGTGTGTCTACTGCAAAGTTAAAGTCAAACTGTTTCATCATTATTTCGTGTAAGTGTTTACCTTCTAAGGGAAGCTGAATAAGAAGGCGTGGAAACTCACCCCGTTCCATACAAAATGAACAGGAGCTTCAAAAGATCCGAAGTAAAGGCTCACAGAAGGGCTGTTATTTTCTAATTTTGCCGAGTGGGTATATACCTTAAATATACATACCTATTTACATACATTTATATGTACTTACATCAGTTCATATCAATATGCCTATGATAAAATCGGAATATGGAGATCTTCAATTTCACCGAAGCTACCAGTTGCACGGCGGCCAAGTTCATTCATATGAAACACGATGTCTACTGTTTACCGCGGCGATGTAGTCTAATTAATCACCAGCAGAGGCAGGTGCACCCGATAAGTACTCGCAGAGCAAGTGTTCACAGAATCAATCACCGTTGCAATATGCCAATGGCTCCGGGTTGACACACTGATAAAGGCATTGAGAAGAATAGATAAAAACCAAAAAAACAAGCATTTAATCACGAGGCGATGTAAATTTGCGAGTTGAGAGCAACCGACTTGCCATGGAATTTGCTGGCGAGAAACGTGAACAGGAGTTATTTGACATAGGTAGCTCGCAGCGAGAAAAGCTGCGGCTAAAATCGAAGTTTTGCGAAAAACAGTAGTAAGGAAAAATTTACGTTCGGTGGCACTTCTCCACAAAGTAGTTAATCAAAGTGAATGCAAATTTTAGTAAAATAAAGTATTAATTTGAGAAGCCTCGTAAAAGATTAAAATGACACGTCGCGGAAAATTCGTAGTAAATAAGGTAAGCAACGCGAGAATTATTTTTATTAGGGATTCTACAGAAGCACCACAAGCACAATGCCAGAGTACCAGTAGCATACCTGTACAAACAGGCTGCAGCAGACGAGTACCGCCACCACTTACACTCACGCAAAAGCTTGAATTCGTATTGACGCTAATTAATCGTCTATTAATCGGTTTCATAACGATTTATTTGTGTTGGATGAGTTTACGATTAGATCGCGAGCATATTCCATGGCACGCCGTACTTTGTACACTAGGGGTGAGTGAGAGGAATTTATATTTGCAGTAAATGAAAAGAAAATAACTTATAATTAGACCTAACTTTGCTGCTGTGTTTCAGTTCCTTTGTTTAATGTCTGAAGGTTTAATGGCTTACTATCGTGGGAATGTTTGGACCCAGATTTGTCAACGTCCAGAGAAAGCACGTTTACATTGGATGCTACAGCTTTGCGGCGCCATAATCGGTCTTACTGGAATTGTCATCAAAATGTGTTTGGAAGAAGTGCATTTTCATACGCTGCATGGTATTTTAGGTAAATATTCATTTTGATCAGTTGCAGCATGTCTTTGTCTTTGAAGCAATTTCACATGCCTCGAAAGAACAAATTTTAGAACCATCCTTCGCTGAAATTCAATACTTTTCGGAAAGAGCATTGCTTATGCCAATATTGTTGATATGTATTAATATATGAGGACTCTTTGAATATTCTTAAGTCTGAAAGCTTCGAATATAGTTGAAATTATTAATTATTTAATCTAAAAGGTTAGTAAGGCGGTGCAATTTTAATTGCCACACTAGATTTATCAACCAAATACCAATAAATTTATCCAACCTTTTATAACCTTTATGATTCTCAAGTTGATAATTAATTACTCCACTGAATCTCCGGAAAATGTAATTTTCCAGTTCCTATTACAGTAAAACAATTTGAGATCTAGCTTTTTCTTAAGTTGAGAAAAAGTAATATTGGATTGTGGTTAAAGTATTTAATTGAATTTCTTACTAATCAGTGTCATTGCGAGAGTCGTAACGAAAGCAAGTCGTTTTTTCAAGAGTCGAATCGTATCGAAAATTTCATGTGATTGTCTAAAATTTCGCACCAACTGGTGTATTAAAGCGGGAAAACTTGGCAGCACTGCATAGTTTTCGACGATTTTCGTTGTTTACTTATTTCAGCACGACAGTAGACAATGCCAATGTTGTCGAGTCGTACAATTTAGCCTAATTTACGACTTACGCAATGAGGCTGAACGGTAGTTCTATGAATATTATATCGTCTGCTGATTGGAAGATCGACCTATCTCGGCAGCCAGCTCGAAAACGCCCCATCTCAAAAAACTTTTTCAACAACACCCTATTTCAAAATTTTATTGAAAAACATCTTAGCTCAAAATTTGGTTGAAGGACACCCTATCTCACTTCAAAATGTATTGAAAATGTGCTGAAACAGGGCGTTTTTGTATCGGCAGCTGAGATAGGGCTTTTTGAAACGAATTCTGAAATTTGGCGTTCTTGAAGTTTTTTGAGATAGGGCGTAGTTTCTAAAAATGCCGTTGATTTTTGATTTTTTTTTTTTGCCTACAGTCACGCAGTTTCTTCCAAAGTACGTTAAAACATTTTGTATACTTAAATTTAATAGTCTACAAAACTGCATATTAAAATTTTTGTAGATTCTGATAAAAAACGTCTGAAATTTTGGTGAAACTTTGCGGACATTTTCAAATATTTGCACAAACTGAAATTTGGATTTATATGGTTTTTGTTAGATAATGACCTATACTTTTATAAAACAATATAAAATAATTTAAGCATTAAGTAAAAGAAAACTAGACAAAACTTTTCCAAATGTCGCGACCCTTTTAATTTGTCGGATACTGTAGGTATTGTTAAATGTAGTTTCTGTAAAAGCATTGACAAAGACGTCAAAGTGAGCTTCTAAGGAAGCTTGAATTCGATATTTGAAGTTCTTAATAGAATACATATATTGAAATACCGAAGTGTTATACCATCGTTAAAAAAATTCTTTACTTCGTTTTCAGGACTTGCTACCATGATAGTCTTGTTCATTAGCCTATTAAGCGGCCTAGGCTCACTCTACGCTACAGAATTGAAAAGTCGTGTACAACCGCGCGTCAATAAGACGCTACACAATATAACCGGGTTAATAACGTACACATTAGCTATGCTGAGTATGTATTTTTCCTTTGAGACGGCACTTTTTAACGATTACTCGTTAGATGCATCGACTTATGTGGATTTTCGTTTATTATTAGAAATTATAACAGTAATCATATTTGCACTTAGCACCTATGGACCACTGTGGTGTTTATTTTATAGTCGAATATGAAATAGTTTGTAGGAAAAATATGTATTTAACGAATTGTTATCAAAAGTTTGATAAGAAATAAAATATTGTACTACAACGAAACAAAGAAAACGAATGCAAACAATTTGTAATGCTGGTACTATTACAAAAATTTAATATGTAAAAAATAACTGTATACTCTAAACAAGTACATACTAACACGAATTGACAAATATACTAACAGTTAACACACGATGATTTAATTTTAAAGATCTGCCCTAGCGCATTATAAATTAAAAACACACAATTTTTGCTTTTATTTATAATATTTATTTGTGCATTATTTTATGTTTGTTTTGCAAAATCTTTTATTATGTAGCCGATATAAATAATACCTTTCTGCATGCCGCAAGAAAAATTAATACAATTTCTTTAAAAATACGCTGCTGCAGTCTATATAAATAAATAAATATCACTTATACATTAAATAAATCATTGAAAAAGTTAATTTTTTTTATTCATCATTGTATTTTGCAAGTACATATGTATGTTTAAGTATGAGATTCAGATTCATTGAATGATTTTATGTATGCAAATGTGATGTCATGGATTTATTTATGAAATTGGATTTTAATCATATGAATGCTCATAAAATAGTTTTGTGACGCATTTAGGAAATCTCAGGAGTGTATATGTATTGTATATAAAGCACTCGAAGGCAATAAGTCATTTTAAGTCTAAAACTGATTTGTTTCATTAAAGTGTTCAGCTAAAAATATCAATCGCTTGTTAGCTACAAATGTAAGTGACTAACAAAGCTTTATATTACTTAATAATTTCGTTGTTTTTCTCTAAGGGATGGTAATTGTGCTGTATTGGCAAACAAAACAAAAAATATAAAGGCTCCATAAATTTAAATACGTATTAAAAAATATAAGTTCATAAAAATAAGCACGAATTCATTATTTAATAAAAGTATGATTCTAATTAAAAGTTAAGTACTTTAGAATATCATGAGAAAACTCGGAAAAAATTCTGAATTCGAAATTGAAAAACAAAATTAATAAAAATCACTTCATCTTATATCCCATTTCCACCAAGAGCTTAACTGAAATTTTTAATTTTTTTTCTTTTACTTTCGTTCGCTTGTACTTAATATGAGCAATTATCACCTTACAGTTGTAATCTCCTTTCTCTAATCGGCGTAAACCGCACTTAAGACGTGGTAGAAATGAACTGTTAGCTTTTTTAATTTTTAGCTTTCTGTCGCCTTGCAAGTTTATTTATTGGTCGTAAATACTACATTTTTTTTTTGTTTTTTTTTTTTTGCAAATACAACACAATTTCCATCACTCTATCCTTTATATTTTTCTTTCTCTGCACGCATTTCATTTTACAATTTTGTGGTGCGTTTTATAGCAAACGACATAGAAAACGCTTCAATGTAACGACGGAGTGTTGGCGCGCCACCACCGCTACCCTCAGCAGCTCCGTGGACACGCCCACGTAGCATACCAATACCTCCACCGCCGCCACCAACTCGTATTTCTGCGCCGCAACATTGTTTCTCATTGCAGTGACGACATGCTTTGGTTGTAAAATATGTATTTTCACCCTCCTCGTCATCGTCTTCAACACCGTCAGCAATTTCATACCCATCACCGCCTAGTGCGGCAACTTTGGCACGCTGCTCGTAACGCAAATACAAAGTCAAACATATGAAGAGGACAAAGAGTAGCGCGCAGATAGCGCCACTTGCGATACTGGCCTCCTCCAGCATTGGACGTGGACGTTTCGGCAAGAATGAGCCATCGTATTCCTTGTACTCACAACGAGGTCCCATAAATCCATTAGCGCATTCGCAGTTATACATCACCGAATCGCCCAGCTTTACTGAGAAGCACGTGGCATCGTTTAGGCAGTACCAAGCATCGTAGTTTATTGGACACTTGTAGGTAGGGAAAGTGATGTTTGGTCGTGGTGTGGTTGTGGTAGTCGTTGTGGGCTCCGTTGTTGTAGTAGTAGTAGTAGTTGTAGTGGTCGGTGCGGATGTTGTTGACTTTTGTGGCGAGATCGAAGAAGCTGCCGAGGATAGAGTGCGTGGTTTCGGTATGGAACGACTAGAGCAAGCGTCAACTGTGGATGGCTGCTTCAAAAGACAAACGAGTAGCAGTGACATGGAGTATACGCTGAAGAGCAGCGCGCATTTGCGCTTGAGTAAGAACATTATTGAGATGTTTTTTTTTTTTTACTTTGCTACCAAAAATAGAGAGCGAATTTAATGATTAAAAAGTAAGTTAAAATAATGTGTTCAACACTTGAGTTAAGAGTGTTGGTTTTGTGAGTGGTAAACTTGTATCCAGTTTTGAGATCCACTACACGAAATACTGTTTCTTGGAATGGAGTTATTCGCAGTAATTAGAGTTCAGCCAAAGGTTAGTGTTTATTTTAAACTTAAATTTGTTTTAAATATATTTTTTGATTATGTTATATATGTTTGTGAATTCACGTTTAATTAAAATTTAAGATCTTTGATTTCAGTTGCTTTCAACGAGGTTAGTATTACAGCTATAACATCAATATACAATTCGACACAGACAAATAATTGTTGCATGAGAATTTCACAGCTATTTCTTATACACTTAGGTATTTTTGGTTTAAACTTTTACACTTGCTTGTGTGTATGTGTGTGTGTGTGAGGTGTAACTATAAGGATCCAACTAAACAATTAAAACTTATCACAATTGTCGTACGGATATCGAACTTGGACAACAAGAAATTTCATACAATCAATCTGAAGTACAATTCATTACTATATATTAAAATAATTTAATTAAAAATAGATTGGGAACAATTGTGTTTAAAAATGCATTAAAAACGCGAATTGTAAACATGAAATTCGAAGTTCAAAAGTAAGAAAAAACCAGTTATTTGCTATCGTTATCGTTAGTCCTTGTAGCAAATGTGTGCACTTCGTTGTTGTATGCCTGTGAAAATAAGAATAAACAAATTACATTTTTTAAGCTATCTGTAGCGAGTTTAGGATTCCTTAAGTAGAGGGCTTCTAGTGGATTATATTAAGAGGAATATTTGACTTAATGGAAAATGCCAAAGTGAAGAAAATTATTCAATTTAGCTAACACATATGGAGTAATGAATGAATAGTTATACTATATATGTAGCATTTAAGTTAAAAGAAAAACTAATACAATTAGCGAATGATCAAGAGAGTAAAATTGTGAAGGAAAAGAAAGAATTATTTAAAGAGTGATATTATTATTAAGTTTGATGACATTAGATAATGATTAATGAAATTTACGAAAAAAAGAAAACAAAAACAATAGAAATGATGCGCATAAAATCATAAGAAATAAAATGACTTGTAAAAAATTAAATTCGTTTATGAAAATGTAACTTTATATGGCTTAACCTGGCCTACTATGCATATTTTACTTTTTCTCTATGAAAGCCAATACAATTTTGTATAATCCTCATTTACATTTACGTAAATGGGTAAGTTTAACATACACACTGGCTAATTTTTCAAAGTCCAGTTTAAACATATTTGAGACCATATTGTTTCCTAAAGAGCGTGTCAGAGGTGGCAACTCCTCCAACTTCTCCACGTAATTTGCTGTCAAATTTAGAATATACATTTTATTTCGACGTGTGAGAAAGACCTTTCTGTCACTTTTCGGAAATCAGTTTCAGAAATTAAAGCGGCAAGGTGTGACCGTAAATCGATTTCGGTTAAACTTGCTTGCACTGCATTAGCAATTTTTATTTCTGCTGCAAAAGCTGTCAAACTAATCGAGTGTAAACGATAATTTTGAATAAAATATCAGAAATTATTTCAATTAACCGTTTTTCGGAATTTAATTGTTTAGTTGTAAATATATGGGCTATTCACACCTGTCTGGTTCTCAAGTTGTCTGGTTAAAAAATTATTATTCTCTAGTGTATTTTGTTTTTGTAAACTGAGCTAAAAATATAACCACATAACCAGATAACCAGGTAGGTGTGAATACCCCAAATAAAATAATCTTCAAATTGAAAATAAAGTTAATTATAACCAAGAGAAGTAACAAACCCCGGCAAGGCGCCTCACTGTTGCATTTTAGTATAGAGAAAAAGCGTTTTCAGAAGTTTCTCCGACAATTTGATTTTTGTAAATAAAAACCTACTTTCGAAAGGCACTTTACACGCAAGGTGTGACTGCTCGTGCAATTGCTTTCTGAAATTTCTTCCGAAATATATCACTTTAGTTAAAATTCTTTTCGATTAAAACAAAGTTCCGTATTAGTCACCGCACAAGCCAGTGCAACGTTGCCCCTACCAAAAAAATTACATGGAATATACAACAATGCATGCCTCCTTTCCATTTTTGGCGCAAATAATCAACACAGAATTCACAGAAAAATCACTGAAATCTAAACCATCACAATGCAACAAGAAACTAACCTGCCCTAAACAAGCAAAGCAGAAATTTAGAAAATTCTTTTATAATTTGCAAGATTTGTAAAATTAGTTTCCTAAAATCTCAAACTATATGCAGTTTATCTCAAATAAACGCCTTACAGAGAAAATTAAATGTGTCACCCAACAAAAAGCTTTCGTTATTTGGTGTGCAAACAAACAACTAAAAAAAAAAAATCGTAGGCTGGCAAAAACAAAAAGAAAATGCAATTCCTATCTACAATTGCAATACTCGCAGCCCTCATTCCGAATATTTGGGGGTAGAGTGCATGAATGCTGCTGGCGCCACAACCGGCATATCACAGCCTACATATTAATGCTGTGAGTAAGCGGTGACGTAAATAGGGAACCCCATCCTTCCCCGCCACACTTTTATTCTTTGTTACACACGTGCCACAACAAACTCTTAGAAATTAAAATCATTACAAATCACCATTTCCAATGAGTATGCGATAGTGAGTCAATTGAAGGTGGGGAAATCGTAGACAACATTTAAATTGTTGTGCCTATTTCATTTTAAGGCCAGTGATTAATTTTGCAGGCAAATTTTTTTACACAGACAAATGACGGAGGACGCGTTAATGTTTTATCAAACAGGGTAAAATTAAAGCAAAGTAAAAGTGAATTAAAACAATGCAGTAGAATTTATAAAAGGTAGTGAAGTTGTATTTAAGGCGAAATTGATGCTTTTAGATTATGAAATTCAGCATAGATAAAAAATATACAAACATACATAGTATGCAAAATGAAAATAAAAAAAACGAGCTATAAAATTCCCAGCGTAAAATAATTTTCGATGAAATTATAATTATTTTGCACCAATTAAGAATTTGGTCGATCGTTTTCACTTTGCGTTGTATTTTTGTAGTTTTCTAACTTTTTTTAGGATATTATTATATTTTCTTGGTTTTGGTTGATATTAGTTCTTTCATTTTAAATAAATTTTTTTGCTAGCTAATTAATTCTCCTATCCTTCAATAGAGGATGAGAAAGTAACTGTTAATTAAAAAAAAAAAAAAATACACAGTAGATACAGTACTGTCTAGTTTTTTATCCCTCGGTTTTCACATACAAAATTTTTATATTAGGGACTATATGCCCAAAAGGTAGAATATGTGCAGCTATTCAATTTTTAATTTACAGCCCTATTCCCACGCTAATGACAAAACTCAGCGGCTGACTATTGTCTTTACTACTGCGCCTAATACTATGCCGCAAAGATATTTTAAGGTATCTAATGCTGACAATTGTCATTGTTATTGTTATGACCTACTGAGTACACGATAAACGGCGAATTTTGTCAGCGTTGTGGGAAAAGTTCATTGCAGCTTTTCGACACTATTTTCAATAGAATATCTGTCATAAAACCTGTAACTAAAAAAACCGATTTTATTTTGACTACTACACTCCAATGTATTTAGTTGTTTTGTGGTAAAAGATACCAACTATATCGTAATTTTTCCTTCTCTAACATACTAATTTTCCTTCTCTTTATAATTGCAACTTTTTGATTTGCGCAATACCCCCTTACATCAATAAGTTGCACAAACCGAGACAGTACTGTATTTTTTTTTTTATATTTTTTTCATTTACGTAAATTTTTTTTATTTTTAATCAACATTTTATTTTATTATTTTTAGATTATGTTTTGTTTAGAAAATTTACCAATTATGCAATAAATAAAAATTCACACCAATGGCTTTTAAACTACGATTTCACTAAACATTATTTAACATTTTTTTTTTAAATTAATATTTTTATTAATTTCCTTATTAATTTTTTGGACTTTTCATTATTTTATTTTAAGTTTATAATTTTCAATAATTTCGTTAGCTTAAGTTAAATATCACAGCTTAAGTTAAATACCACATATTCCATAGCAAATCAGCAGCCAATCTTTATTTTAAACTTATATGCAAAATTTTATTTGAGTCTTTTTGTGGATTCTTCAGTTTTTTTCTTTTTTTTTTTTTTGAAGAACGCTGTCCCCCGTTGATTATCCTAGCTCATCAAAGCTGGCTGTGATATGCGTTGAGAATCCATATCACAACCACTTGATGAGGCTTAGATAAGCAACATTTTATAGCCACATTTTTGTTGTTATACATTTTTTTTTTTTTTTTAATAAAATCTTTTAAATGACATGATTTCTCAGCTCCAATCTCCGACTAACCAAGTTGATGGTTGGTTGATGATGTTGACATTTATGCAATTTGTAGAGAATGGAAATGTCCTGCAGCGTGTCTTGTTTGTTGTTATGCATGGTGTGCTAATGGATACTCATGTACTATATCTATGCATGTTAGAATCGCATGTTAGTTCATTTGTAATCTTTTTTGTGACATATTTTCATAATTGTTCGTTTAGTTTTTGTGCAGCTCTTACAGACGTCCAGCTAAGCTCATCAAAGCTGGCTGTGATATGCAATTGCAAATAAAGCATTTCACAACCACTTTGTGAGATTTAGACAAACGTACGTATTTGTTGTTCTTGTGCAAAAACAAAAAAAAAAAAAACTTTCCAATTTCTTTTTAAAGTACTTGAAATATATATATAATGATTACTACAGAGTAGTGTTATGATTATGGATTATAGCGAAGAAGAGATTGATATAAATTTATAAAAGGCACGAAAATAAATTTACTATGACCATTTCTAATTGAAATTTGATATGATATTTTTGTTTTGTCGCAAATCAAATAATTATAGTTAGTTATGCACTACTAAACAGTTCCATATTAGTTCTCGTTTCATAAACTTGAAAAATATATACTTTTTACGGTTACAATAAATTTTCAATTTTGTATTTTAACACATCACTCTTCTCTTATCAAATTCACACAACATTTTTAAATTTCTTTTTTTTCCGTAATGATGGTGAAAGTTTTCGTTAATGCTTTAGAACCGTGACGCTCCTCAAAGCTGGCTGTGATATGAATTTCAAAGATTTATTTCTTCGTAGAAAATGTCAACATTTCGCAGCCACTTTGAAGAATGACACAATTCTATTAGAAAGAAATATAGTGATATTTCCTATCGAAAGACGAAATAAAAGCGCGAGTGAGAAAAATAATAAAAAAAAAAACTTAGTTAAACAGTGTTCATAAGCAATGAAATGAAAAAACTAGCTGCATCACTCAGAAGAACACACCCGAATTGATAATAAAATTCACAATTCACAAATTTTTTGTATGTTAATATGTATGTACTAATGCACATATACAAATTTCGTACCTCATTCGCAGTAGAAATTTTTGTTAGATACGTTTTAAATTAATTCGAGACATAAAACACAAGAAATAAAAACAAAAACTAAAAACAATAGTAGAACACTGTGCACACACAAACAAAAAGTTGTACATTTTGCAACATAAAGCATCCTATACTATACAATACTTTAGCATTGGTTAGTTTGCTTACCATTTCAGGCACAAAGCAACCACAAAAATGTCACTCAAGACGTCCTACCACGCAGACTGTCGGTGACATAAATGATAACGAAAAAAAAAAGACGGAGAAAACAAACACTATGTACTGCTCCCCCGCCCCTTCCTATTTACTCAGTTTAAATCACATCTTTACAATTTAATGATATACAAGAATATTTTCAGGTTAATGGGGAATATAAAATTTCGAGTCATTTTCGAATTAGAACAAAAAAAATATTAGGAAACGATTGTCGTAGGGTTGGCAAAACTCGGTAGAAGGTTAAATGCGCGAATTGCTAAAACCTTAACAAAAAACTCCATTGGAAAACCATTTGCTACACGCATGCATAATTTTTAAAACTGAATATTCTAACCTCTCTGCTTCCACCATTCTTGCGAATAATTGAGTAAAGGGGTGGAAAACGAGGAAATCAACTTAGTAGTTCGAGGTTTCCGGACTTATGCCGTTGTAGGGTAATACTTGTTACGACTTTTTCTAGTTCATAAAAAAACTTTGTTTGCTCATTAGTTAAATCAACACCACCTGCGTTTCTATTCGCTCAACTAACACTACTAACATATCTCTCCAACGTAGCAGACATAGCAAAACCAATTTATGAATTTTAATTCAATCACAACAAATTCATACTTGCTTAAGAATGTGAAAATTTTACATACAAATATTTCTTGGTAAACATTTAGAAATATTTCATCAGCATGCTGAGCTTTGATTCACTTTATCAAGCGGCAGCAAGTAACGCATGAGAAATATTTAAACAAATAAAATGAAAGACACAAAAAGATTGTTCCGCACAAAGCTTAATGTCCGCAATTATAAAATTCTTCGACGGACGATTAAAGGTAATATTTATGATTGTCCAGAAACTGTGATAAGCTGGCGCTAGGTAATTTTTGGAAGGCGCCAAGGAAATTAATGCATTTTTTCAACTTGATTTGCAGTGAAATTAATTATTATAAATTTAAAAACGGAAAGTGAATCGAATGCGCAAACAACACCAAATTTTCAAAGGTGATGACAGCCAACGAGCGTCAATTGACTGAGCGACCGATCTCCTCCATTCATTCACACATGACAGCGGATGAGATGCATGCGTGCGTTGAAAATATCTGTGTGAAATCACATTAATACACACATATGTACTATATGTGCTAGGGTGGTCCAAAGACAGTAAAGTCGGATTTGTAATGCTCTCACCCCCTTTTTGAAATCAAAAAATATTTAGAGGTCGCTCAAAGCGCTCTAAGTTTTCCATGTATTTTTATATGGGGAAAAGGCCACTTTTCGTAGAAATGGTATAGAATTCTTGAAAATAAATATTTTTCGATCGGAAAACTCTTGTTCTCTTCAGGAGACTTTCAATAATAGTACCCACCCAATTGTTTATTTCACCATTTTTTAATACTAACGATTTTTTATTTGTCCCCCCATTGCATTTTCGGGATTTTCGTGGGTTTATGGCGGACCTATAAATTATAGTTGCGATGAAAAATGGTAAAATAAACAATTGGGTATTATTATTGGGAATCTCCTGCAGACAAGCAGAGTTTTCCGATAGAAAAATACTGATTTTTAAGAATTCATCCATTTCTACGAAAAGTGGTTTTTCCCCTTATAAAATACATGTAAAACTTTAATGTATTTCTTGATTTCAAAAAAAATAAATAAATTAGGGTATATTTTTTTCGGTATAGAACAATCCTAGGGGGTGAGAGCATAAAAATTTCGACTTTACTTTTTCACATGCATTTTTGGACCACCCTAATATATACATATGTTCATATATGTGTGTGTACCCAGCCAGCAAAATATCAGAAAATGGAAACAATTTCTTATAAAAACCTGATATTTCATACGTTTCCCCCCGATTCCATTCCGGGTAGATTCTCGGCTGTTCTGATTGAATTTATCGTTGAGAACGCTTTCATTTTGAACTTTTTAGATGAATTTTCATAGGTACTGAAAACCAAACAAAAATTAAATATAAGATTAATTTCAATTTAGAGTAATACTTTTAATATAATTTTAATGTGCTGCGTCTGACTGCATTCGAACCTGGGACCTCCTGCAAGGTAACAAATAGTAGCACGCTCCCCTGCACACTCAGCTACTGCCAGAATATGTATACCATGATAAAAACATTACAAGGTAAAATCATTGAGAGGCCGTCTGACGTTTGCCAGCAATATATTATTTTTATTATTAATTTAAAATTCGAACTCAAGCTCACACACACATTCTCATTTTTAAACTCAAACAACAGCAATTATGAACAATTTCATTTCTTTATTTTCAATTTTATATGATTTTAAAATGTTTGCAAACGTCAGAAAAAAATCATGGGAGAATGGTTTTACCTTCTAATGTTTTTATCATGATGTATACAATGCACATGTCATGTTTACAAATGTACAGTTTGAATATACATATATTTAAAAATTTCATCTTCAAATAAAATTATACTTTTCAGAAGTGTTTCGGATACGAAAAATTAACGTAAACTGAATTCATTCAGCACTTTCGTGCTGGCTGGGTAATACATACGTATGTATGATACTTTATAAAGTAATGATTTAAGCTTTTCACAAAAAAGTGCAAACGATTGCAACAAAGTCGAGCAGCGGATGCTCACATGTTTCAAATAATCTTTGCGCTTTTAACAAAACAAGTTGTGGTTTTGGAACTTTTTATTTCGTATGAAAGAACGATGAACTTTCATAAAAAAAAAATGATTTGCTTTTGTTAAACTTTTATGGAGATAATATCTTAAACTATAGCTACGATAAGCTAATACCTTAATATCGGATGAAAAAATTATTGATTTCTTGCTTTACAGAAAAATGTGCTAATTCAATTTAACTTGGTCTTTCAAAATAGTACACAGAGATATGTTACTGATGTTTTGGTGATTGTCACAGAGTAATGCTTAATTTCCACTCGGCATTAAATGGTAAAAATTTTAATGACAAAGTTGGGCATTAAAAAATATTTCTATCATTACGTTAAAAAAATAGTCATTAACTTCATTTCCCCATGGCATTTTTTAGATCGAGTACATTTTTTTGTCATTTCAATGACTAGTGGGAATTCGCATGACCCCGTTGAAATATATATCAAGGAAAAGATGGCAAAGTAAAAAACGAAGTCATTGATGTCGTTTACGGAGAAGTCTGGCCATGTATAGGGTAATGTCTGGCGAAGTCTTAAGGCGTTTTCTTTTCTACCCTAAATTTGTACTTTTCATTGACCTCTTCACACAAATGCTAAGAATAAGGCAACATATTAGCTTTGTTCTGCACGCTTTTCGGGCTGTTTCGGTACTTAGAGCGTAAAAATAAAATATAAAATTTGCTTTCGGCTGTAAACAAACAACAGCTGTTATGGCAATTTGAATATGCACATTTGTGCCCGGAAAAAATGTCCGGGATGTTTCGGGCACGAACACGAAGAAGAAGACTTTTACAATCCAAAAGTGGAATGCATTCGCTCTCTATTACCCATTTTTCCAGTGTGAGGAACGCTTTCTGGGCCGTTTTAGACACCCGCGGGATGTCGAGAACAAACCTATTTTGTAGAAAAGGAAACACCATTAACGAAATTTGGTTGGGTTTGAGAAAGCCATTGATGGATCTTTGAAAATGCCAGCGATTGGAAAGCGATGCCTTTCATTGGTTATGCGAACAAACCGAAAACATTGAACTAGAGATGGGACTATCTATATTATTCGGATAACCGTTCGGATATTCGTGTATACGGATAGTTATCCCGAATTCTACCGCTGCCTTTACACAGGTCGATTTTTTTGGGGGATTTTTGTCGACCAGAGTAAATGGCAATTCAATCGTAAAATGTAAGTGTTTTGGCTGGTCGATTCTCAGTCGACAGAAATCGACCCATATAAAGGCAGCTTAAACAATATTAGAACGTTTTTGTAAAATTGTTCTCAAAATTACTGAATAGCACTTCATTGATACACAAACAATTTTTACTTTTAGATTGGAAAATCCGGATATCTGGTTAATATCTGTTCATTTTGTTATTCGGTCAATATCCGTTCATCACGAAATACGAATAAGCGGATAGTTAGAAGATCCGGATAGAAATCCAGCCCCAGGACGCAAAGGGGTGCGAACTATTACCGAGATACCTTGCACAATTGCTTGAAAGTGGTCGCTAATTAGACTTCTAGAATGATATCTTATTTTATTGCAATTTAAAGTTCTGTGCCCCTAAAAACACTATTTATACATACATACATATCTTGTGCTGCACGATGTACAGCCCGCGACAAAACGATAGCACCTCAACATTTTGAACAGCTTTGACTATTTATCTTTTCTTTGTTTAATTTTAATTATTTTTATATAAAAGTATAGCTCTTTATCTAACAAATAGCATATAAATCCAAATTTCAGACTTTGTACAAAAATTTCAAAAACTTTTCATACTAATTCCAAGCACTTTAACTTTATTTGATAGAATAATTTTTGGTATGGCATTTTCTTCCATACAAAGTATTTTTTTTTTATATGGAAAAAGTGCATAACACCGTCAGAAAAAAATAATTATCAAAAATCAATGCAATTTTTTAGCAACTTCAAACCGTCACTTTATTATAGTAGATTTGAATAGGCTATAAAGCTGCATACAAAAAATTAGTTTAGAAATTCTAATTAAAATATGTACTTGGAATTGAGATGAATTTTCAATTTTTCAATTTTTTTTTTTTACAAAGTTTGAAATTTGAACTTGTATGGTTTTTTGGTTGATAAAGAGCTTAACTTTAATAAAAAATGAATGACCCTTAAAAGAAAAGTAGAACAAAAGTCGTCAAAACTAGTAAAAATGTGATGTGCTTTGTTTTGTCGCGGGCTGTATGTATAATAAATATCGAGCAGTTTTTTGCAGTGATCTTAAGACCTAAACTTCGCATCAAAAGTGTGTGCTTTAATTTTTTTTTTTCATCGCGCATAGGCCAAGATCATCAGAACTGTACCTACAAGAAAGAGCAATGAAAGATCAAACTACTAGCAGCTTTGTGGTTGATCATATTGAGCTATCATTAACATTTGCATGATCTCAAATGAACCGATCACTAATCACTTATCCAAGTTGACGTGTTCATTTGTGGATCCGCTCAGTTTTTTTTTTCTTTTTTTGCGAAATTTAGTTAACTTCATTAAGAAACACTTGTTATTGGCGGTATCTTTTGCAAAATTTTAAACGAAAGAATATTAATGCGTTGTGCCAAATGGAAGCAAGTGCTACAAAAGTCAAAGAAATAAAGCGCTAAAAATATGGTATTAGCCTCTTTAATTAATTCAGTAGTTTTTAGTTAATTTTTTCCACTTTTCAGCAGGCATGTGCGTGGTGTAAAACGCTTGGCAAAATAAACAAAGACGACTGTGAGCATCATTTGAACTGCGTTAATCTGTGTTAAGACAAAAACAATAGGCAACAACAAAAGCAACTTTGCAATAAGCGCGTATAAGCGGACACCAAAAATTATTTGAATTTCATTATTTTATATGTATTCTTTGAAATTTTTATTTGTTTGTATGTAGTCGAAGAGACAGGCGCGTGCATATTTCGGAATTCGAATTGTGTGAACAATCTAAAGCAAACGAAAATGGGGTCATAAAAAACGTCATTGTGAATAATTAAATACCTATCGCGAACTCGTTTAATGATCAGCCCAATTTAATAGTTGAATCAAATATAGTTGAGGCAAAGGGAAATGGAGCCCTTAAACATTACAATTTAAGTTAGTTTGAGTCGCAAAAAACCAAGTGAATAAAGCCGCTTACATATGTATATTTTACGGTATTTACGATTTTGAATGACGTATTCGATTTAAAATTTTAGCATCCATTTCAAAAATTTTATTATTTTTATAGTAAACTTAATTTTTTTCTGTAATTTAAAAATGACAATATGTATGTACATAAGTACTTATCCGCTGTAATAACGACACAACTCAAGACTTCATGTATTTAAATTATAAAGCGGAATAGGTGAATAAATAATTAAATTATATTTTTCTGTGAAACATCGACGTATGTTTACTTGTGCCCAGTGAGAGAGGGCACATGTCACTAATCCATGCCTAATCCTTTATATAGCAGTCCTACACTGCAAATTATGTAACGCGAATACTTTAATTGGCTCTACTGATATATCGTTTTTTTTT